TATTACTGATGTGTTTACTTTTTAATATGTCCTGAGCGTATCTATAGAGAAAAGGGACAACAATGAAACAAATGTCACTTTAAAGAACTGAGATTGAGGTGCAGTTGCACCATGGGACATGTAGTCTACGAAACCGGAAGTGACGCGACAGCATTTTGCCCGCGAAAACCGGAAGTGACGCCGGTAAACACAAAGCATGATGGAACTTGTAGGATCAAAGGGCGGAAGTGACGTGACGCCATGCTGGGGATACTGGACGCAATCAACACAAACGAGCAGAGGAAATTTCTGGCGGGAAATTTGAAGATATAAAAAGGAGACTTGATCCATAGTATTGTTTGAAGCTGACTGAGGAAGCCGTTTTTTTCGGTGAAACGCGTTTTGGCTAACTAGGTGGACCTGTTAGCAGACCACCCAATACATTTGTATTATATGTAATTGTTTTTATTATTTTCTAGTAGTATGTATACATTTTAATAGTTTGTTAAATAAATATATACATTTTATTCACTATCCAATTATACTCTGCGCAAGTGATTCCAAGAAGGGGGCAGTGCCATCCCTATTAATTGACACTAGGCTAAAATACTTAGAGCCGGTTACCAAAGGCTCTAAAGAAGGTGAGCACTTTTGTATTTTATTTACATTGATCCATATCAGTATCTAAAATACTACATTTAGATTGGGGATATCTGTGTCTTTTTTCTATGCAACGTGGAGAGGAATTTACGCTCTTTTTCACCTTGAGAGACGGGTCGTGTGATCTACTCCAAAAAAGACGCAGACACCTGGAAGTTTAGAGCCTTATAACTGTAAAAGGCTCTAAAAAATGTGAGTTTATTTCAACTTATCATTCATAACTAAAGGACTTTATGTAATATTCATTCAATATACTACACTATTATCTGTATTTTTTATGTTCTTTTTTCTTGGTATACCATTAAGAAAACTAAAGCACAATATATAGGGTAAGTGCGTGTTTTAGCACTATTCCTTCATTGAAAATTCCACTTTATATTTTCTATATTCAGCGCTACACTCATGAGAAACTAGGGATCTGGGTGATACAAAATATCTACCTAAATCCAAAGTTTTCTCTGTTCTTTTTGGATACTAAAAAGGACTGGACATACCCCACTTGCAATACCTTGGGTAGTCTACTATTGCAAATGGTATGCCATCATGGGGGCAATTCTCATTCCTGGGCTACCATATGGTCTCAAAGGCAACGTAACCAATCTGGCGAATTTCAATGTGAAAATATGAAAAATGTAACATGCTATATTTGACCCTGTAACTTCCCAAAACACCATAAAACCTGTACATAGAGGGTACTGTTTTACACGTGAGATATCGCTGAATACAAATATATCTATTTTTTTGCAGTAAAAGCAAACAGTATTATGACATTCACAGTTAAAATGTCATGTAAAACTAAAAAAAAAACATTTATTATTTTCTCCCATTTTTTTAGATTTTATTCATATTAAATTATATTTCATAGCTAACAATTTGATGTTAAATGAAAGCCCTGTTTTCCCTGAATAAAATGATATATAATGTGGGTGCACCTAATATGAAAGAGGTGAATTACGCTTGAACAGACATATAGTGCAAATTCCAGGTTTTGTTTACGTTTTGTTTTGATCACAACGTGTACATTTGGCTCAGGCCTTAAGGGGTTAAAAAAAATAAAAAAATATATATATATATATATATTTTACAATATTTATTTTTATCAGATTTTTCAGAAATACTGAATAAGAGGAAAAAAAGGAACTAGAATATTATGCAAGTGATCATGTAAGTTTTACAAAGGAAATATTGCAAAAAGTATACAAAAGAACAATGGAACCATAGATACCTCAATTATTTGGTTATATCGGGTATAATTAAAGGATAAGGAACGACTCGAGCAGCATTTTGGAAGAACATTAGGAAAGACAGAAGGAAAGTAATGGAAAAAAAGGTTCAGGTTGAATGGGGGCTAGTTTTGCTGCACAGTAATTAAAATGATTAAATTATGGACCGTTATGGACCCAAATACAATATATAAGGCTTACATGACAGAACAGTACTTGTAGAATTATGATATGCAAAAGCAAGCTATGGCATCCATGTCCATGCACACCTAGCAGAGGTACCCCTCATTGCTGCAGTCGGGGACTCTATTGCATAGATATTCTCACCCCTTGCCACCCATTGCTGGAGAATAGGAGCAAACAGACTATTCTTCGACATAGTTGGGATTAAGGACTTTGCTGCAGTTAATAAATGCTTAGTAAAAGATTTCTTGTATATTTTCAGTGGATTGGTAGAATGAGGGAAAACTATGGGCATAGGCGGATTCAACACTCTCGGCAATCTTAGAATGGATCATTTTCCAAATAGGTTTAATGACTGGACATGACCACCAGATATGCAGGCTGGTACTGCCCACCCCACCCCACACTCCCTGCATCTCCAGCACATGTTGGTAACCCTGTAATGATACGTTGAAGCACTTCAGTGGTTCTATACCATTTTGTTAGCAGCTTGTAATTTAGCTCCTGATATTTTGAAGTATCGTACTTTTGTGCGTGAGTATATATATATATCTCCCCCCAGTGTTTTTCAGAGAGGACCAAACCCTGTTCATTCTCCCAAACGTACACAAACCTGATACAGCATGCAAACGCAATGGATAAAGCCGCCAGAGAATCTTGAGAATCTGCCACTAAGTGCCATGCCCCCTGAATATTCATATGTTTTGGCCTTATATTTTGTGTTCCCAATGTTTATTCTCACAAATTTCCCTTGTAATCCGTGTCTCCCCATGTATCTATATGTAATTGTGTTGTATTCGTGTGTTTTACCTGCTCCCCGACACCTCATTTTGAATGTCTATTTGGAACGTTCACACCTCGTAACGTGGTGTAAAAACTGTAAACTGCAAGGGAAACAAGCGGCGTATGCTTCTCCTGGGTGGCCGCCGGTTCGTATAACCGAACGCCAACCAGGGTCAGCATTCGTACCCCGAACCGGCATTTGCAAACTGTCTCCGGTTCCCGTGTCAGGGATCATCCTACCCACTCCCAACGGAGGTATGGTCACTTTTTCTCCTAGCCGGGAGCTATAAGGCTCGTAGCTGCCCAAGAGCTTGGTCTCTCCGGTGGATACCTACGTGGGGATATCCACCGGAGAGAGGGATGCACACTAGCAGGGATTCCCTGGAGCTGTGAGTCGGCTATACAGCCACAAGGGTCCCGCTGGCTGCCTGGATGTCCATGCCAACCAATGGGAGAAGGAGCGCCCAATCAGATTGGGTATGCACCCTTCTCCTGGCTGGTCGGCACGAGTGAGCGCTGATTGGCTGCTGCAGGGCGCAGACGACCAATCAGAGAAGGAGTGCCCATGGGGTTTCACGCCCTTTCTCCTGATTTGCTGAAGAAAATAAACCCTTTTCTCCCCGAGCGCCGATTGGTGCAATCGAGTTTCGCACCCTTTTGCCTGATTGGGCCGTGAAACTCCTCTCCTCCCTGTGAGCTGATTGGCGCGATTTAGTTTCATGCCTTTAAGCGGGGATGTACAGAGCCTCGAGTCCGAGACTTTAGATGATGATTTCTCGGGCTCTGTACATCCGATCGCCCTGCTTTTTGCAGGGATCCCAGAAGGGACCCGGAGCTATCTAACAATGTAGGTTTTATCGATGTGATTTCATTCCTTCCTGGGGTGCCAAGCCCCAAAGCTTACCCCTCCCGTATGGCATAGGTTTTAATGTGTGTCCCTTTGTACTGTTCGTATCTCCCAGAGCGGGAGATTGCTATCTGTAACCCAACCCCCTCCTGTCTGGGATTGTGTTAAACTGAATGGAGACCCCCTGTGGGGGCCTGTGCATAAAAGCTGTGTTTTCCAAATAAAGATTTCCAGTGGTTTTAACCTCCAGAACTCTGTCTCGTCTAGTTACTGGAGGGAAGGAAGATTTAACCCCTGTGTCTGCTATTCCAGCTTGCAGGGCATGCAGTGGGGAAAGTCCTTGTAAGGACCAAGAGCTTCCAGGACTGAGTGCCGTTAAGTCCTGGGAGCGCATGGAGCTATGTCCCCTAACCCTGTAAGAGCTCCTGATCGACTGAAGGGAGGGAACTAGGGGAGGTGACCAGGTGGTCCACTACATAAACCATCTAACTACTTTGGCAATAATAAATCCCCCAAAATTTTAAAATACATCAAGGGAAGGAAACCAGGGCCTAGGGCTTTATTAATCTTAGAAATGTTTAAAAGCCAGTTGTAGTTCTGATATCATCAACAGGGTGTCAAGTTTTTTGGCAGTCTCAGTTGTTGTGGGGCTAGATTATAGAGGCTACTGTAATATGAATGGCATTCTCTCATAATTTCATCATGAAATTTAGTTTCTTTATCTCTTGTTTTTACTTTATGAATAATGCACCCTCATACACCACAAGTGAGTATTCACACCTAGAGGTGCAGACCTGCAGCACAAGACCACTGGACAATTAAGGACAATCTTAGCCACTCAACCACAACACTGGGCAGGACCATATTAAGAGCATTATAGAATCGTATCAACAGAAAACACTAAAACAGTCAAACCTCCCAATCGTCATGTATCTGGTGGAGGTGGTGCTGGAGAAAAAAAACCTCACAGGATATAGCTTTAAAAAAGTAACCCTTTGCTAATGTGTCGCTTTCATCTTTCAAGTCAATCCATACCCCCTAACAGCAGTGTCCAGTGAAGCACGCTTTCGGTGGGCGGGGTAAACGGGTGGGCCACTGACGCAAATCACGTACCCAGAACCGCTCAAAGAGGCAAACATGACCCCAACTTATCAGCCCGAGGAATTAGGTCAGCCTAGCATGAATGCATGTCAGGCTGCCTGCCAATCATGCAGCCTGGCCAACTATGGGCATACTATGCAGACAGCACCCTGAGCTTGGCATAAATGTGTCTAATGATGCGCTCGCAAGAAAGGGCAGAGACTTGAAACATAGTATCTACATGAATAAAGAGAAAAACGGTGAAACACCTAAGTGCAATATTGAATAAAGAGAAAAACGGTGAAACACCTAAGTGCAATTGCACTTGCACTTAGGTGTTTCACCGTTTTTCTCTTTATTCAATATTGCACTTAGGTGTTTCACCGTTTTTCTCTTTATTCAAGTAGATACTATGTTTTATTGAGTAGATATTATGTTCTATTGAGCTACCTATGTAGCGGTCTAAGAGTTACATTTAGGAAAAGAGAGACTATATATCATTGAGACTGCTAGATTGAGTTGCAGTATATGTTATTATCTGTCTCCTCCATATCTCTTTTTAAGACTGCTTTGTATGCTATAACCTATCCATGGATATGCCATTGAGCATTCTAAGCATCATGATATCCATGTTCTATACCTCCTAATCTTTCCTCTATAAGATGGTCTTACCTAGTATGCATATACACATGGAGAACTATATGTGAGGTAATATTTTCCGTGTATATACTATATATAGTGCTTATTATTTTTATTACTGTTTATACAGGGCAATTGACCATTATTTAGAGTTGTGATTAATTCTGGGATGGGAGGTGGTTAGACATCACTTGAAAGTAGCATTTAGTGGTAGCTCTACCTACCCATTGGTTATTATTATTATTTTTATTGACTTTAGAGGGTACACCATAATCAACTGCATTTTAGGAACCTATAGAGCCAGATTAATAAAGCTCAGAGACCTATTGCTAGTAAGATACTGGTGATACCCGTATATTTATACAGTTATTTAGATATATACATGTATCTACCTGATGGTTTAGCTCATACACTGTAGGGTTATCTCAATTTCTTTGTATCGTATGTATATAGTATATATTTTGTATTTGTATTAGATTACTGTATATTTTCAGGCAAACACAGCTAGCCACTTTTGTCGTTTTGGCATTGTGACTGGCTTTTGTGTTTTCTTTTCTCTTTTCTATCCAAACTAAATTATTTTTGTTTCCATTACATAATGTGCTAGCTATGCGTACTGAAATAAAAAATACATTAAAACGTCTGCTTGCAGACTTTGCCGTCCTGTTGTATGTAGGGACGAAGGATGATGCTTTTTATAATGAAACTGTTATGCTGAAGTTCTAAAACATGTCTCTTCATAAACCATAAGGTGACCTAAGTTGACCACCTGCGACTTTGGGGTGAGATCGGGGACTTAGCACAATACTTTACCAGGTTTGGTCCCATTTTCCACCACTCTGCTAAGAATTAAAGGGGTCCTAGCTGGTGGCCTCCTTGGGGCCCTGTGACATATTGAGCCTTATGTATCTGCTCGCCAACTTAGCCACTCCCCAGTACAAAAGTTTTTATTAAGAATTATCTATGTTTTTGTTTTAAAACTATATTAAAGACAAAGCAAATTCACTTTGTTCTGGTGCATGTGTGAGAGATTGGAATGTGGTAGTGAATCCAAGAGAGTAAAGCAGTGATTGTAAAGGAGAGGATTCCAGCTTGAGTACCATACTGTACCTAGCGCGAGGCTGGCAAGGCATTTGCCTTGGGTGGCACTTTCAAGGGGGTGGCAAAAAAAGACGCCCCCCCAATTGCCCTGACAGATGCCTTGCCAGCCTCTTGTCCTGGGGTGGTCAAGAGCTGGCCACCTTTAGGGCCCTCCAAGGCTGGCATTTCCTGATGTAGGTGGGTGGCGAGGGCGCACTCTCCCCTGAGCTCTTCTCTGCTCAGCTCCCTCGCACGCACCGCAGTGATGCACCAATAAGAGGTGCGCGAGGGTGCTTAGCAGGAGGATTAGAGCCCCTTTGCTGCCCGCCTCCACTCTGTGCCTGCCTGCAGAGCTGCACCCAGCCCCACTGGACCACAGGGAAGAATCCACTCCAGCACTCCCAAAGGTAGGGAGGCCAGGTGGATTGAACTTTTTTATTTTAAATTGTCAGTGTGTGTGTGTGTGTGTGTGTGCTAGTGTGTCTGTTAGTGAGAGGGAGTGTGTGTGTCTGTTGGTGAGTGTGTTAGTGTGTGTCAGTTAGTGAGTGTTGCATATGTGTTTGTCAGTGTGTATCTGTCAGGGAGTGTGTACAAGTGTGTGTGTCTGACACTGAGTGAGTGTGTATGCATTTCTCTCAGTGAGTGTGCATGTGTGTCATGTCAGTAAGTGTGTATGTGTCTGTCAGAGAATGCGGATCTGACAGTTAGTGTATATGTGTGTCTGTCGGTGAATGTGTGTGTGTGTAACTGTGAATGAGTGAGTGTGCGTGCATCAGTGAGGGCATGTCTGTCAGGAAGAGAAATATGGACAGGGTAAAGGGGGTGGAGGGCCCGGGTTTTGTGATGCCTAGGGCAGCACAAAACCAGAATACACCACTGACTGTACATCTGCTGGTACAAGAAATTTAGACCGGGTTATTAAGGGTTATTTACTAAAGTGAGATATGTCAGAAAAGTGAATTAAAAATTATTAGGCCAAATAGCCAAATCGGAATATTACTGAATGTCAGTTTTTTTTCCTCAACAGTTTTGGCATTAAATTTGAAGTAACATTGAATCCAATCCAAATCCTAACAATTCATACGTCAGTGAATATCTTTTATAATATTATTAAAACTGAAAGTGTACTTTTGTGCAATTCCATGTGATGTGAATGTTTTACCTAACAATAAAAAAAATAACTGCATCTCTATGTAATAATTTTCATGTAGTTTACTTATTGAAAACTATTTTTTTTTATTAAAAAATAAATAAAAACAAACAAACAATGCAGTTGAAATCTCTTCTTTAGTTTTGTGTGTTTTTTTTTGTTAATTAAAAAAGTAGATTGTTGACAGTTAACAGATGCATTTATATATGGATGTTCCATTTTATGTATATTTAAAGATTTAATAATTCTCAGAAAACAAACAAACGGAGAAGTAATTATACAATATTGTTATTATCCTTGATTTAAAAAAAACAAAACACAGACTAAATTCTTAAACTAAATATCTGCAGACTTCCTGTAAATTAACTTTAGGAAACCACTCTTTACTGCTTTGTTCCTTATACTGTAAATGAGTGGGTTTAATATCGGAGCACTAAAAGTGAAGGTTAATATTAAAACTCTGTCTTTATCCACTGAGCTTGCTGTCTCAGCTCGAAAATACATTAAGCCAAGAAACACATATTCAACAACCACAATAGTCAGGTGGGATGAGCAGGTGTAAAAGACTTTACGTCGACCCTTGTTAGACTTTATCTTCATTATGGCAGAAATTATGAACACATAAGATGTAGTAACTAGAATGAAAGGTATGGTGAACAAACAGAGTCCGAGAAAAAAATCTATCATTTGTACTAAGTCATGGATCTCAATAGTGGGGCATGTCAAGAAGAATACCTGTCCAACGTCACAAAAGAAGTGATTAATCACAAATGGTTCACAGAACGGGAGTAGAAATATTGAAATTACCATTATAAATGCAATTATGGAACTCAGCACCCATACAATAATTAGAAACATCTTACATAAAGCCCAATTCATTACAGTTTGGTAACGTAAAGGATTGCTTATAGCAACATGGCGATCATAGGCCATGGCAGTGACGATAAATATTTGCGCTCCGCCAAAAGTAACAACACAGAACATTTGAGCAGCACATTGGATGAAGGAGATGGAGTGTCTGAGACTTAGTAAGTTATTTAGTATCTTGGGAACCACACTAGAGGAATAAAATATATCTAAGCAGGCCAAATTAAAGATAAAAAAGTACATAGGTGTATGTAGGTTGAAGTCGGTTTTTATCACAGCAACTAACAAAGTATTCACCAAAACTATGACCACGTAGAAGAACAGAAACAAAGTGAAGAGCAAGCTTCGATATTTAGTAGAGCTTGAGAAAGCCAGTAAGACGAATTCTGTAACAGAAGACTGGTTAGTTCTGTCCATCCAGTTCCTCGTATTTGTAGATATCACATTTGCAGTTTACTGAAAGGCAAATCAAAGGTTCTGTTAAAATATAGTATATCGGTAAGGACCTATTATAAGAAAAACGTATTCTGAGTTTGAATAAAATTGGTTTAGATTTCTAAACGTTTGTAAGGTAATTCACTAAATTGTGAATAATAAGGAAGTAAATTTGAAATTAATTTCAAAATTTAAGTAAAAATAGCCAAACTGCTATTCTTTCAATTATGCTGTTTTTACCTAAAATTTTAAATGTGAAATTCACCTTGAATTCTTGACAAAGCAAACTTTAGAAAACTATTCCATTAGTCTTCCCTAATAGTTAATAATGACAATATGGAATGTATTAGTATACATAAAAGATTGTAATTAAAAGTTACAATATACATAATATTAAGCATTATACTACAACTATTAAAGGGGAATGTTTATATTCCCCTGTACTTAATGCAGTCCAGGGTAATGAATCATGCAACAGCTTTAATAAACTTTCCAAATGATTCAATACTGTTGGGAAACCTTCCAAATGGTTTATTTACAGAAATCACCTTTAATGTCTCTGGGAATTTTTGGATATAAATATTTTGCAAAGTTTTTCTTAAAATTATTGAATTAGTAAAAAAGCTTATTCAATAGAGATTTCTGTGTGTAAAGCAATGATCTTAGACAATACACTATTTGAAGATAATATATGAGCCATCAACCTTAACATGGACACTCCAGACCCCAAAAGTACTTGTTAAAAAGCTTTATATTTGAAGAGTGTGTCCTATTTTTTCATTTTGTAAAAACTGCATATTTCAATAGAAATAAACACTTGTATATCTTAAACTTCCCTGGCTTTCAATCAGACGACAAGGTCCTGTTACTTCCTGGTTGTTTAGCTCAGTGGAGCTAAACTCAAGAGGCAGAAATTGCCCAGAGCACCTGCCTAGCAAAGACTTCTCATTGAGCTACATTGGGAAGGCTGTGATTGGACTGAAGTCTGGGCGGGCTTAGAATAGGAGGGCTAGCAAAAGCTTTAGACAAGAGAACTGCAGGTTTTGCAAGCTGTTTTTCAATATATCCCCAATAAAAAAATATATAATTTATTGCATGCAAATTTTCATTTGAGGATATATCTAGTAAACATCAATATATATTTTTTTATATTTGGGCAATGGAGTGTTCCTTTAAGATGAGTTAATGAAAACTGTGAAGATCGCACAAAATAGAAG